GACCTCAGCTGAAAGGTACTCTCTTTTCTATCCTCTAGTTCGAATTTTATTGATTTCCTTGAAGTGTGCATTGCTGTCATTTGTCCTTCAATGGCATTAGAAAGGATGGAGGTTCTCCCTATTAAATTCAATGGCACAAACTATGCTTTGTGGAAGTTTAACTTTCAATTCCATGTCGAAGCCAAGGGTCTTTGGGGATATCTGGATGGTTCTATAGCTAAAGTTGATGATTCAGATATTAAGGGTCTTAATCAGTGGAAGATCGACAATGTAAAAATTGCATCATGGATCCTAGGATTAGTCAAAACTGGCATTGCAATCCCTATGAGAGGGTACAGGACTGCCTATGAGATGTACAAGTACCTTGAGAAAGTTTATCAACAATCGAACACCTCTAGACAGTACCAGATAGAGGTTGGCATCTTCTCATATGATCAGGGAGAAAGGAAAGTCCAGGAATACTATGCAGGGTTTATTAACCTCTGGATAGAGTATGAGTTAGTACACATGGGAAAGGATCCGTCGGACTGTTGTGTGAAGTATATGAAGGAACACTTTGATAGAAGGAAGATTATGCATTTTCTAATGCATCTCAGGCCTGAGTTTGAAATTGTCAAATCTAATATCCTGTGCTTAGGAACATTTCCTAACTTAGATACTCAACCAGATTTTCTACACAGACCACTCTTGATAGGAGAAAAGATTCCAACATTGATGCTGTCTTCCTGGAAACAAACCGAAAGGGAAGGACTTCTCTAAAGTATAGTGCTATGAATGTAAGGAGTTTGGGCATGTCGTCTCCCATTGCAAGAAAAAGAATACATGCACTTATTGTAAGCAGTTCGCCCATATCATTACTGAATGCCCTACTCGGCTTCAGAAAAGTGGTGGATCAAATCAGAAGAAAGGAAACAAGAAGGCCTATCAGACTGTTGTAGATGGATCAGATGCCTCCTCTATTACCTCTGTGGTTGCCCAAAATGACACCTCTGGTGGCATGTCTGAAGAACGGATTCAATAGCTCATGTCCTCGGTCATTTCCTCAGCCTTCTCTGCTATTGGCCTATCTGGTAAGTCACCAACCTATTGTCCTTCACCAAATCACCTYTGGTATATTGACTCAGGAGCCTCTAACCATATAACAGGGGCCACACTCAGTCAGTATCCCAAACYCCATCTTCCCAATAAACACATTGTCACTATAAATGGTGAAAAACTAGGTTTACTTGGCTGTGATAATTTGTATTTACCTACCTCTATGTCATCTCCGTTTCATTTATCCAAAACTTTATTTGTACCTAAGCTCACCACCAATTTAATTTTTGTTGGCCAACTTGTAGAGGAAGGTAACACTATCTCATTCACTTCTGATGGCTGTTTGATACAAGACTAGCAAACTGGGGAGGTGAAGGGGAGGGGGCATAGAATGGGACGACTATTTGCTCTGGAGTTTGAGAAGAATAAGGCTGCACCTGTTTTTACTTCTTGTTTGCTTTCTACCACTTCTAGTTTTGAGTCCTTTAATTGTAATAGTGATTGGCATTTGTGGCATAAACGCCTTGGCCATCCGTTTTCTAAGAAACTTGATTAGTTATTTGCTTCTAATAGTTTACATGTTTCTACTATTTCCTTTAAGAATGTTAATAAAGATTGCACTACTTGTGGTTTATGTAAGAATCATATTTTACCTTTTCCTTCTCACTCTGAGAATGCTACAGTTCCTTTTCATTTAATAGATAGTGATGTTTTGGTCGTCTCCTGTTGTTTCACAGTTGGGTTATAAGTACTTTGTAACTTTATTGATGACTACACCCGTTTCACTTGGATTTATTTTCTTTGAAAGAAATCTGAAGTTTATTCTGTATTTAAGCACTTTCATGCTTATGTTACTACCCAATTTGATGCCTGGATATGTGTGCTACGATCGGATTCAAGGGGAGAGTATTTTGATGGGGATTTCCAAACTTACAACATGGAATTCAATCCCAAAAATCCTGTCCAGGCACCTCACAACAAAACGGGGTAGCAAAAAGAAAGAATGGGCATATTTTGAGTGTAGTCAGAACACTTCTACAAGATTCCCATGTACCCTCTTGGTTTTGGGTGGAGGCGGCCAACACTACTATGTATCTCATAAATTGTCTTCCTTCATCTGTTTTAAATAATTCTTTTCCTTTCAAAACTCTCTTCCACAAACCTCTAGATCTATCTATGCTTAGGGTTTTTGGTTGTGCTTGTTTTGTTCACCTTCCACCTCATGAATGCACAAAGCTAACTACACAAGCGGCTTTGTGTGCCTTTATGGGGTACAATTCTGAACATAAAGGATTCCTTTGCTATGATCCTTCGGTTCATCGTATTCAAATCTCTCGTAATGTAGTTTTCCTTGAGAGTGTGTCTTTTTTTGAACATATTGTAAAATTTCCAGCTCCTTCCACTTATTGCACAGTTTTGACTCTAMAAGTACCTCAAGCATACCAATATCACCTCCGCAGCAACTTCAGACTTACTTCAGGAAGCAACGGTCTTCTTCAGTCTCAATGCCCCCCTCCGCTCCACCACCAGCTACTGATCCAGTCACTCCAACTGCCCCAATAAGTGCACCTGATCCTCCACTTGAACCCACTGTACCCACTTTACGTTGTTCTTCTAGAATTTCTCGCCCACCTGATCGCTATGGTTTTTCACCGGACCATAGCTCCTTCTCTACTATTTTATCTACCACAGACATTCCCATATCTTACCAACAAGCTATAGTAGAACCACACTAGAAAGATGCCATGGATTCTAAGATCCGAGCCCTTCTTGAGAATGACACCCGGGACTTGGTCAAAGCTCCACCTGAGACATCTCTCATAGGGAGTTGATGGGTCTACTCCGTGAAATTGAAATCTGATGGGAGCCTAGATAGATACAAGGCTAGTTTGGTTGCACAAGGCTATAAACAGGAATTTGGGATAGATTATGAGGAGACCTTTGCTCCTATAGAAAAAATGACACTGTACAACTTTTGATAGCTATATCTGCAGCCAAACAGTGGACAATCCATCAGATGGACATAAAGAATGCTTTCCTCCATGGGGAGTTGAAGGAGACAGTCTATATGAAGCCCCCTCCAGGATATTGTACAGACCCACAACTTGTTTGTCATCTGAAGAAATCACTCTATGGCTTGAAGCAAACTCCYAGAGCCTGGTTTGAGAAGTCCAAATCTGTTATCACTGATGTAGGCTTTATCCAGAGTTCTTCAGATTATTCTTCATTCATTTTAAGGCGGAAACAGAGAGTGACGATCTTACTTCTTTATGTCGATGATATACTCATTACAAGGGATGATGTAGAAGGAATTGCTGAGCTGCAATAGTTACTCAGTAAATCCTTTAAGATGGACTTAGGGCCTCTGACATTTTTCTTGGGGATTTTAGAGAGCCGAAACTCTAGGGGCTATTTTGTTAACCAACAAAAGTATGTGGCTGATCTAGTTAAACTGGCCAATCTTAGTGATTCCAAGATTGTGGATACCCCACTAAAACTGAATTTGAAACTTAGCAAAGATGATGGTTCTCTTCTAGAAGATCCTACTCTTTATTGTCAACTAGTGGGGAGTTTAATCTATCTCACCATGACTCGGCCGGATATATCATATGCAGTCCAACTGGTGAGCCAATTTGTGTATTCTCCAAGACAACCTCATTTATCTGCAGTTCATCGGATCATTAGATATGTACGAGGCACCTTATCACATGGGATATTCTTCTCCTCTTCATCCCCCATTAACCTTTCGACTTATGCAGATGCTGACTGGGCTGAATGCCTTGACACCTAACAGTCCACTACTGGCTTGTGTGTATTCTTAGGCAACTCCCTTATCTTGTGGAAGTGCAAGAAACAACCTACTGTATCAAAATCTTCCACTGAAGCTAAGTACAGAGCTATGTCTTCCATGTGTAGTGAAACCATATGGCTCTGAGCTCTTGTACTTGAAATACTTAATGAACCATCACCATCTATTCCTCTTTATGCAAACAATGTCAGTGCAATCAAAATTGCCTCGAACCCTATCTTCCATGAGTGCACCAAACACATAGAAGTTGATTGCCACTTCATCCATGACCTCCTTCTTGAGGGTGTTATATCCCTTCCCCATGTCTCCTCTAGGCTCCAACTGGCAGACCTATTGACAAAAGCAATTACTTGGGCTCGACATCTATTTCTCATGGACAAACCGATGCTTATTCCTAGGCATCAGTTTGAGGGGGAGTGTAGAGACAATGAGAAGATCTAGTCGTAGGGCTATTTTTGTACTTTTACTTCTTTTGACGTACATCTATTTTTTGTATTCTTTCTTTTGTACACTAAGGGTGGATTTGTCCTTTTACTTTCTTTAATATAAATATCTCTTTTAGGGTGTCGACAGGCACAAGGTGACACACCCACCAAACTGTTTGTTCTTTTCTCTCTTTTATTTTTGCCTTTTCGACTTGACTCTGACTCAACATGACTAATTGACTATCACCTTGTTGAAGTAGAAAATACTCTTGAAATAATTGATAAACTCTAGCTCTCTAGCAACATTATTTTGACAAAGGTATAAGTGTTGAACATGTTCAGAGATTTCCTATATTTAAAAACATAAGATTGATACTTTTAAGTTTGGATTCCATAATACTCTACAACCACATCATGATTTTGGTGTTCTCGTATATTCTTTCATTGTAATCAATAGTACCAGATGTAAGCTTAGGATCTGTCAAACATTTGAGAATGCCCTTTGCAATACAAAAGACTTCCATTGATTATCGTTGGGCAGATAATTTTACCATTCAATTTAATCAAAATCTCTTAAACAGCACCTTGAACATTGAGATTTGGATTTGCAGGAGTGCAAACAAGGATACACATCAAACTAGGGTATGAAAGAACTAAACATACAATTGAAAGTTCTTGGCATCTCTGATAGAAAATGAGAGAGAGAGAGAGAGAGAGAGAGAGTAAAATACCTCAGGAGGGTCAAATTCCGCACCCAAGTTGCTGAGTTTTGAATGAGCTTCAGCATAATCCTTGAAAAATGTGTCCTGATCATCTGCATATTTCTCAGCATATACCTGAAAAGTATGTCAGATTTCGTCARTATGGGCTACATCATATATTCTCACAAGTTCCTAATAAATTCAGGTAAATGAGAAATTAATTTATTCCTTTACCTTAAATGATGGATCTTCAAATAGAACAGCATCAGTTGGCAAAACCAGTAGATCTTCATCCCTTGTCTCCTTGATGTCCTGTGAGATCAAGGATCAATCATCACTAGAAAAAATAAAATCCAAATTATTATATGATAAAGGATGTTACATGTTGATACTTTGAAGTAGGAATTGTCAAACTTCAACCATTGCACAGTCCACGATTGTCCTCCTGGTGCTCCTGGTCCATCTTTCTGTCATGCAACCAGTAACATAGTCTGAAATCAATGCCTAACAAGAAATACAAGCTTTTTGATTGTTCAATTAAATGTTCCATTTCTTTGTTTTATGTGCGTGAGAGAGAGAGAGAGCAGAGATATAATGATTGAAACCTAGAATCATAATACATAAGGACCTGAAGACAGTAAACATACTGATTTAACAAATATACCTGCCTTCAACTAATTTAAAAATTAGACTGGATTTCTGTATTAGATTATAAGGTGCCATATTTTCCTAAGAAAGATCTGGTTGTATTGTATTAATACAATGATAATAGTAATAAAGACATTGATGACAATGACGATGATAACAATATCAACTAAATGTTACTGTAACAAAGAATAAGGTGTCAGCTACCACAATTTTAGCCTAAATGAAATCCAAGAGCCAAGTTAAGAATCATAAATCAAATCATACCACCATTAAATATGTTAGCCCATTCAATTAATAAGCCTACTGATATTGACTGTAAGCACATTTAATTGATCTGAGTAATTGATACTGAGAGACTAAAGTTGACATTATTGATATTGCATTTTAAATGGTTAAAAGAAATGAGCATGGTGGCAGATGTGGGATAACTATTGAAAATGCATTTTAAATAGTTGAAAGAAAGGTAAGGTCGCAGATGCCCATAATGTGGGATGCTTGCATAACTGTATGTAAATTCATTCTTTACCAATATCTAATAAAAAATTAATAGTTAGAAATAAAAAAAAGACATTTCTCATGACAAGAATGGCTTTGTGCTTAAAACATGTATGATAAAAAAATCCATAAAAAGGGAGATTGAATGGAAAAGAAAATGTTTTCTTTTTCATTCAAATAACCACCATTTCAAATGGAAAATTTTGATCTACATACTGTATACTTCGTTTCTGGCTTGCCCCAACCACTACGCTCTGGCCTAGACCTCCCTAAAGTGTGTGCTCCAGATAATGCAACAATTTCCTGTAAAAAACAGCCCACTGTTGAAATAGACTAATGGAGACAAATGATAAATAAAATCCAAGAATCATGTATGGAGTACATCGAATGTAACCTTGTCATTTAATCCCATCCGGTAGAAGACATCACGTAAATGAGCAGCAGGTGATGGGGGACCAGCATCTAAACATAAAATGAAAACCTTAAAAGTTAGTTTCTGGAATAGCAGAAAAAGGAGTCATTACCCAATGATGCTCCTTGCTATCCAGGGTCATGAGATCGATAGACTGGATATGGACCTAACCTTCAGCATTTTTAATGCACAAAGTGGCCACTCTCAGACTCAAATCTATGTTCTTGCACTTGTCATTTGTCAGCCTAGGATTTTATGATTGCACCAAGAAATGGACCCTGGTTTATAGAATAGTTTAAGAGTTTCTGAAACAGATTAAAACTGAAAGTGGGAGTGTCAACGAGTTGGGCTGGGGCCAGGTTCATATGTACCAAACTGGGATCCTACTATGTTCATCAGTTCCAGGTCTTGTCATGTTAGGATCCTGTGTAGAGTGGGTCCTAGGTCCAACCCACCATATTCTCAGTGCTGATTATATATCAAGTTTAACTTCTCTTATACAAAAGAGAACAGTCTACTTTTCTAAATAGGTGATTCACTTAGTATGCTTTTTTGCTCACATACAACTAAAAACATAAGACAAAAAGTAGATTCACTTCCCTATATGGTGAACAGTCTACTTTTCTAAATAGGCTATCTTTTATGGACAACTTTCAAATAAAAATTGAAAAAATAGAGCACTATTAATAATGAAACAAAACTCCGATCCAAGGTTTGAATAGGACTGAACTCTGAAGTCTGAAGTGGACTAGAGGATTCAACACATGCTCGATCCAGAGGGCCCCCTCTAATGATAAACAGTCTCGATTTTCTGCCATGGGGCTAGAATAGAGTAGGTTGTGTAGCAAAGATCCCTCTTCCCAACTTAATAAGATTAGAAAATTACTTTCCTTTTTATCTATCAATGAAAATTTCAATTTATTATATGAATAAATTCCAAATTTCAGCAAGATATTAGGTAAAAATTTGACAGGATTCAGTTAAATAATCAATTTAAAAAATTAAAATTTATACAATAATAAAAAACAATAAAAAATAGTTATTTAGTTGAATATTTTGTTTCATAATATGTTGTAAAAAATATYTAATTTTTTTGAAAATAATATACTCTTAATTATAATTAATCACTCAGTCAAAAAGTAAGAATGAGTAAAATATAGCATTATAAGGTAAGAGAGCAATACTATTTCTGAAAGTTCACTTATTAACTTGGTACAAAAATGTATCATGTTTTGATAACTTAAACTAGTTAATTTATCAAAATTTACAAGAAAAGATAAACATTTAAAATAATTATGATAAACTAATAGAAATGCTATTTTTATATTTATTTTCAGTACATGTGCATGTGATTAAGTGTACCCAATTACCAAATTTTCATTATTTTTTACTTCTGATTTTTATCTCTTTGTACAATGCAACTGATTATGGATAGCTAGTAGTTTTGGCTTTCTTCTTGTAAGAAGTTTTATTTTGTCATCCTAAGGTGAAATCTCTTCATCTTATTCTTGTAATTCTTTTCTTTTAATGATACTTTATCTTACTATCAGAAAAAGTATTACTATGTTATTAAATAGTAATACTACTATTTGGAGTGGGAGATTTGGAATAACGAGATTCATCAATGTGGTGATGGTGTTAAGCACAATTCTGAAACTTTTGAACTAGATTCTCTGCTATTTAGAGATGGAGATTTGGTGATCACAGAACATGGAAGAGGAGCTTGGTCAAGGAGTTCACTAGAGGAGGAGGTGATTCAGATGGTGGACTTTTTGCAAAAGGTGCTAAATGATCGGGAGCACAATGTGGAACATCAAAGACATGTAGGCAGAGGAATGGTGACCTATATCCAAGTTAACGGAAACAGATGGGGGAAATTTGTCAGGTTAAGTCCCTGGAAAGGAACAAGAAGAAAGCGAAGTATCTATGCCCCAAAAGAGGCAAACAAAATGTTGGGTATGTTAGACAGTGTATGCCCTTAGCTCCAATCATAATGATGTACATTATGACATTTAATGTAAATGAATAAAGTACATATTTGATTCATGTTATCATGGTGTGTTTCTGTGTAATACCCTTAAACTGGACACATATGAGACTCGTGTTAGTTTAGAATCTTCACAACCGTTGGATAGATCT